AGAAGGTCAGCAACCTATTGTGTGTTTGTGTGTGTGTGTGTGTGTGTGTGTGTGAGTGTGTGTGAGTTTGTGTGCGTTCATGCGCCTGCATGTGTGCATGACGGGGGTTCGTTCAGTAATTCAATACCGTTTTTTTACACTTTCAACTCAGGCAGTGTCATTTGGGGACATACTATCTGGTCTGCACAACATGAGCACAGGGGAATATAGTTCCAACTAAAGTCCTACTGCTATCCTGCTGCAGAGGAGATTTCCAAACCCCATCTGTATCCATCCATTTAACTATAGTTACAGCAGGATTGATTGACAGTATTCAATGGAGACTACTGGATATAATGTAGAACTTAGCTGACCATTCAGGCCAAGCAAAAGCCAGAGCATATGTGTATGTTGGTACTGTAACATTATGATGATTTAGAAGCGTGCTGGGATGACGCTGCTGGGGTGAATGAGGATGGCCGAGCTATCGTAACAGAACATATACGTTTTCATCTCATTGAGACCGATGTGGATAACCATAGGTTAGGCCCTACACGTAACAAAATACAATGTACATACATCATCATCAGGTCACTTCATGTAAAGTCGGTCCAAAGATAGCAACGTAATAAATAAACGGGTCCATGCGAGACGCTTCACTGTAGAGAACATCGATATCAGAGATGATGTGGAGCCCAGGACATAATCACAACGTTAAATACGGAGCAAATGTGGCGCTGGAGAGCTAGCGACGTCAGCTATAACGATCTTTACTTTAGCAAAAATCTCATGTTATATGATCACATTTAGACTGCAATTGAATGAAACTTTCAAACAATGAGCGTCTGAGGTGGTCCAAGTGATTTTCATGTGGTCCACCTGCAAATGACCACTCAAGGTCAATAATGGGAAGCCTTTTTCGGCCAGACAACGGACCATTAAGGACCAAATTAATCCAAACTGTCCAGAAAGAGACAGAGGAACAGGAACAGGTTTTGCATTGGCACTGCATAAAGAGTCACAGTTAAAACACACAGTGTCCGTGTGCTCTGTTTTGTTTGATATTTTAGATATTTACCATTCAACCCCATTTCCAAGGACACAATTTGGGGGTCACCCATTCCCCCAAGTATGCATGTAGGCTGGTATCTACAACTACATATAACTTCTGTACATAGACATCTGAATACCTGTACATGCAAACCAAACCCGTGTGAAAGCCCTGACATCTGGTACCTATGAGGTGGTTGGATGAGATGGCCAGGTGCCCTGATGGCCTGACGGTGATTAATACTCCTTATGAACCATGCAGTATAATGATCACTGATCAATATCATTACATATAAAAAATACATCATAAATCCACAGTTATGTCCCCCATAGGACAAACATATCTTATTCACCATAGTATTAGGAAGGGAAAGAGTCACAGGGATACAAAATGTATCCCAAATGACACCCTATGTCTGTACTATTCAGGGAACAGGGTGTCGTTTAGGAAATAGCTTGGTGATTTGGCTGAACCAACCTCCACGTTTGCACCAAACATTCTATACTTATCAATAGAACGTGATTGGAACCTTTGGTGCCAATGTGGCAGCCGTTGACATTCTAGAGTTCAAACTGAGTTTGTTAAACCCTGTAAGTCTCTGGCTCTGATTAGAAGTAGTGATGGGAGATTACTAAGAAGTACCCTGTTAACTCCTCACATGTGCTTGGCTCAGCATGGTCATCTCAATCATTGTATGTTGCATCTTCTCTCCAGCTGTCCGACTGGGTCTTGTATTTTCTTTAGTGCGCCTAAAATACTATATTTTAAACTTATAACAGGGTCGTAAAGACAACATAATAATAGAGCTGTTTCAATAATACTGATACTTTCATGAAATAAGGGAGCATTGGATGTGGGGGGGGGGGGGGGGGGGGGGGGTGGATGGATGGATGGAAAAACGGAGAGGATATCTTTCTCTGGAGGTCAGGGGTCAGGGCGGAGACACATGCTTCAAAGTCAGAGATTGGCCAAGTCATCCACAGAGCAGATCACATGTTTAGCAGTGAGTTATTGCTGTATTATTCAATAATAACAAAGCCACTGTCTTTTAGTTCTAAAGGTGCTGAACCACAAGACTGGCTACGGGTGTTTGTGTTGACACTGTGGTATTTTGTGAACAGTGACTCAGATTATTAGTAATATACTATTTATATTATTGTTGATGGAGCGAGGCAGAATTTCAAGTCACATGAAATTGTTAATGTATCAGAGATAGTCAGACTGGAGCCTGGCATGATCTTTAGCGGACCTGATTACTGGTTAACACAGCGATAGGGTGTTTAGCAGAGTGTGCTGACCCAGTGTGCTGACCCAGTGTGCTGACCCAGTGTGCTGACCCAGTGTGCTGACCCAGTGTGCTGACCCAGTGTGCTGACCTAGTGTGCTTAATGTCACGGACAAACCGTGACATTAAGCTCATCTGTACTCTGTTGGCATTTCTCATCTGAACAATGTTTAAGTCTTCTCATCTGAACAATGTTTAAGTCTTCTCATCTGAACAATGTTTACGTCTTCTCATCTGAACAATTTTTAAGTCTTTAGGTCTTAAAGCATACCTTTTTGTCTCTCTAGAAGTCCCTTTATGAAATAGCAGATCTATGTTTTTCATGGTAAGGAGAAGAGGAACAAGAGGAGAAAGATAGGTCTTCAGTGGATTGAAGAAAAGCTAATTCCTGTCATCTGTAGCTCAGCTGGTAGAGCACGGCGCTTGTAACGCTAAGGTAGTGGGTTCGATCCCCGGGACCACCCATACACAAACATTTTTTTAAATGTATGCACGCATGACTGTAAGTCGCTTTGGATAAAAGCGTCTGCTAAATGGCATACTATTTATTTACTATTTATATTTTACTCCAACACCTACCCGAGAGCTTAGAGTTCTGCTTTGTAAGATTTGATTCCCAATTGGTTGTTTGTGACTCACTCAATGTAGAGAATAATATTATTACTTTCCTCAGTGAGTTACTGCACTAACCAATGCCCACATAGGCATGCAAACTGAAGCAGATGTAGCTATTCTCACACACAGAAACAAGCATATGCAAATTGCATCAAACAACAACAAGTATATAAGCACACACACACATTCATGTAAATGAGAACACACATAAACGCCAGAACTATGTCAACAATTACACTCTCAACAATAACACTATTACTGTTTTGGATCAAGTCCTGGGGCTTTAGCTGTTCATTGATCCCAGATTTCAGCTCCCTCTCTTGGCCCGGTGAGAACTCTATAATGGCTCTACATTGATTGTACGGTGATGGCAGGCCATTTTGTCACACCAATTTGTCTAACCAAGCAGAACCACCTCTGCAGTTCAGCACCTCCACTGCACCCTTCTCCAATATGTTGCCATCTATCTAAATTATCCACACTCCTGGGGAAACACTGGAAGGAGAAAGGAGAAAGGAGAAAGCAACTGAACTCACTATAGCTCAATATTTTATCTATTTTGTTTCCGAGGTTAAACAGGATCTTTTAATTAGATTTTTTTTATAGATTGTGTATTAGTCAACATATTCTATATGTCTTGTAACTGTTTTTGTATTGGTTTCATGTCTGCGGTAAAAACAGAAAGCACGTCTGAGATTTCAGAGGACGTTTTAGTTGGACTTTATTAAGACTGTGTGCAGAATGGGAAATGTTCCATTCACTTCCTGGATTGACTGAATTAAAATTGGTATTGATCCCAACCCTGGTGCGTAGTTGTTGATTTTTTATGGTAGCTAATTTGGCACTGGGGCATTGAACACAGCCCTAACTGTTCACTAATTAATTCTAGACTTGCTCTGGACACGGCTGCTTGGCAAAGCCTGACTCTGACAAACACCACTTTAATGTGATCAATACAGCAACTAAGGGGTTAATTTTCTCATGTTCTGCCGTCAGCTAAGTGACGTCTTAATTTGGTTCACACATTCCAACCCCCCATGTAGACAACTCTCTCAGTTATGTGGGTTTTAATATATACACCATAATATCCTCATCCACGTCTCTCTCTATCTCCCCCCCACCCCCCCCCCCCCAGAGAGTTAATTTATATAATAATGAGACCTCTTTCCTCCACCTCCGTGACTTACACTAATAAATACTGTATTCCCAAATAGTATTTCCCTAAACACCAGTGTAGTTCTCATGATGGACCCTCTTGTTGGCCCTGTGTCCGATATCTCTAACTACTGCATCAAGACTGTAGGTCCATGACTTTCAAGTCATTTTTAATCAAACCAGTTGCATCCGAGAGATCAGGGGTTTGTTAGCTAAGTCTGTTTTTCAGTCTGGTTTAGCTGAGTTTGTTGGTTGTGTTCCTGGTTGTTATTGGCTGCTCAGTCTGTGGTCGTATGTTGGTTGAGTTTTTGGTATGTTGTTGACTCTTCAGTTTGTGGTCATGTTTTGCTTGTCAGGGGTGTATTCATTATGTCTTGCAACAGTTAAGAACCAAACGGAAGCAAACAGAGCAAACAGAACGAAACAGGGAGGGACCTACCTGAATTTGTCCAATAGAAACATTTCGCAACAGAATAACCTTTTTGCAACAGTATCGGCATAATGAATACACCCCTGGTTTAGTTCAGTTTGTGGTTGAGTTAGTTTTTTGGCAGTAACAGTTTCCGAGGTGATTGGTCTGACCACTCCTCTGAGTGAGAGGAGTTAAGGTGTCCTTGTTGTGATTGTTAGCGCAAGTTAGCACCTGCCCTTCCTCAACAATAACTTATTTCCTGTTTGAAAGTATTTTCCCTCTGATCTTCCCCTCTCCATGTTAATTTTTTATTTTGATGTTTAAAAAAAATCACTGTTCGTCTTCTCTCATCTTCTCTCTCTCCTCCTCCTCCCGGTCACTGCCTTCCTCTCCCACTTTTCCCTCCCTCTAACTTTCTCTCGTTTCCCTCTCCCCTTTCTCTCCCCTCATCCTCCCTTCCCTCTCTCGTTTGCTTACTCTCTTTCTCTCACTCCCTTGTCTCTTCAGAGGAAGTCGCTCTGCATCTCATTGGACAGCTGACTAACAGCCACTTCGCTATGTGTGGACCCCTGCAGAATCCTTGCAGTCCTCTGAGGGGTAGTCTCTGGGCCGTATCCCCCAGAACCAGTGTCTCTCTCTGGGCATGGACAGTGCCTGCATGTTCCCCTATGGTTCTCCGGCAATCCATTGGACCGCCGCGTCAAGTTACATTCCTCCTTCCCATGCTGCTGGGACTGTGTACAGGACACCTTCTGGTTTGAGCTGTGCGAGCACAAACACGCACATAGGGTCCGTCGGCAGGCCAGCCAGTCCCGGCAGAGGGACCTGCGGAAGTTGGGTTTGAAGACCAGGTACACGATAGGATTGTAGAGGGTGGAGGACTTGGCAAAGATGGCCGCTACAGCAAAAGCAAAGGGAGGGACCTCTGCCGAGTTAACGAATGCCGCCCACATGGAGACGAAGGCGTACGGGCTCCAGGCGATCACAACACCGATACACACCGCCACTGAGAGCTAGGAGGGAGAGACGGGAACACACACACACACACACACACACACACACACACACACACACACACACACACACACACACACACACACACACACACACACACACACAGGGAGGAATAGACATACAGGTGTGCACATATAGTAGTTTATTAGGTCAAAATACAAGTTTCAAACCCTCTCCACCACCCATGTGACAATACTTTAAACTAATACTTAGAACAAAATCAAAGTCAAAGAGGACAACTTCTCTCTTATCATAATGATGAGGGTGTGTATTGACCACCGAATGATACATTGACCTACTAATGGATTAAACCTCCTACTTTCAAACCTTAATGTCCCAACCTTTTCTAAATACAACATGGTTAGAAACTTTTCATATCAATATTTATAGATTTATAAAATGTGGATGAGTTTATTGGATGAAATCAGACGTTTAAAACTCTCCACTCCCACTCACGTCCCTGGTGTTCCAACAAATTAGCTCAGAGTTCAAACTTTAATATATGAAGGAGTGAAACAAAGCAAACTGTATACAACTCCCCCAAGTTGATGATTGGGGTGTACTCAAAACCCCTTTGATCTAATAACGAATCACAACTTGAAACCCTTTAAAACCTATACGTAAAGCAGCATTTATGTTAGGAAAATGTGCTGCTACAGTTTCCAACATGTGTATTGTAGTGTGTGTGTTTGCGCAACTAGTATTTAAGTGTGTGTGTGACAGTGTGTACCTTGACATTGAGTGTGTTTGAGTGTCTGTGTGTGTGTGTGTGTGTGTGTGTGTGTGTGTGTGTGTGTGTGTGTGTGTGTGTGTGTGTGTGTGTGTGTGTGTGTGTGTGTGTGTGTGTGTGTGTGTTGGCAATCAAAAAAAGACCATGATTTGGGGGATTTTCTCAAAATGTAATCTATTGAATGATCCTGTGGAGGAAAGATTGTTGACATACAGTATAATTGACATCTAAAAGCATAATTGAGAAATAACCAATCAAAGTTGGCATATTTCTAACATTTTGGCCTTACCTGGGCGTACCTTGACGATGAGTGTGTGACAGAGCGTACCTTGACGATAAGCGTGAGTGTGTGAGAGTGCATACCTTACCGATGAGTGTGTGTGTGTCTGTGAGAGAGAGTGTGTATCTTGACCATGAGAGTGTGTGTGACAGTGCATACCTTGACGATGAGTGTATGTGCGTTGGTGACCTTGTTCTGTGGGGATATGTGCTGCTGCACCGCCTGGCGTGACCCCTTGACAGTCAGCAGGATGAAGACATAGGAGAGGAAGATGATGATGCAGGGGACGATGTAGCAGAAGAGGAAGAGGAAGATGATGTAGCTCATGGCAGCTCTGCTGTGGCTGGGGGCATACCAGTCGATACAGCAGGCTGTACCGTAGGGCTCAGAACCATACCGGCCCCAGCCAGTCAGAGGCCCGATGGCAAAGATTAGAGCATAGCACCACACCGCTGCTATTAAGAGATAGGCATGGCAGGACGAGAACCTGTTACCTGTGGGAGGAAAGGGGGGATGGGGGAGAGGGAGAGAAGAAGGGGAGACAGGGAGGGGGTTATTAATGAATGGGATGAGGGATGGGAGGCGGAGGAGTGGGAGTGGGAGAGAGAACATGTAATATCATGGGGGGGCATTGTTACCTGATGCTGTAATGGAAGTAGGGGAGGAGGTGAGGAAGAAGAGGAAGGGAGAGAGGGAGGTGAGGAAGAGGAGGAAGGGAGAGAGGGAGGTGAGGAAGAGGAGGAAGGGAGAGAGGGAGGTGAGGAAGAGGAGGAAGGGAGAGAGAGAGGTGGGGAAGATGAGGGAAGAGAACGACAGAATATGTTACCTGATTTGGCAAATTAGTTTGAGGAGAGATTAGAGGAGACAAATTAGATACAGGGAAGAGGAGAGAAAGCAACATTGATGTCAATGTTAATTACATCTCAGTTTAGTAAACAAAGTGTGTATTTTCCTTTGGCCATTTAGAATACCTAATATATTCTAAATGGCCAAGAGAAAATTACAGTCTTAGGATCAAAGCATAATTGTGAATGACTAACAATCCCAGAAACACAAAATATTATTCACTGGAAGTTAGCAGGCTTTCACATCTCATCAGTTTGAAAATAATTGTATTTTAGTTGGTTTTACAGGAATTTAGCCGTCTTAAATAATCCTAGCGGGCAAACATACATACAGAAAGCCAAGGATGAACGTGATGACACATTCACGTGTTCTCTCATTCCCTCACACGCGTATCTCTTAACATGACCTCGAGCATGTTCAGAAACAGCGGGTAAGCACATGTTTCCGTAGAGACACAAATATATGCATTTATATATCTACAGGAAGCAAAATATAAATACGCTCCCTCGTGTGGAGAGATTAGCACCATACCGGCTTAGCTGGAGCGCCTAAGTGTGTGTGTGTGTGTGTGTGTGTTGGTGTGTGCCTGTTTGTGTACGTGAATACACTATTATCAATCCTCTCTCCCCAATCTTCACACTCCGGGGCTATAGAATATAACTCCATTTTAAGAAACCTTACCAATATCACCATCCCTGTGGACTGGGATCAGAATAACACACTCACCCCAGGAGCTAAGCTTCACCAGAAATATACAGTATACTGTTTATTTCTTTCTCACTCTCTTACATGTCTCTTACATGTCATAAACCACAATAAGGGCTGCACATTTCAAACACGTGATGAGAAGAATTTAGAACTGTTTGTGAACAAAGCCTAGTGCTTGCGTAGACTAGGAAGCCTATTTGATGGTTCTGCACATTTGTCACCTGCGGCAGATGGATAATTAATTACTGAAGCATGTTTACTGAAGCATGTTCATCGGTGTGTACATTTTTCCATGAGAGAGAGAGAGAGAGAGGGGAGCGAGAAAGAGAGAGAGAGAGAGAGAGAGAGAGAGAGAATAGAGAGAGAAGAGAAGCAGAGAAGAGAGAGAGAGAGAGAGCATGAGAGAGGAGAGAAGGAGTAGAGATTAGAGAATTCGCGCTCCCCCTGCTCTCGCTCGTCTCTTGTCTAGCGTGCTATTGGCGTCGTTGAGAATGAGAGAGCAGAGAGCCAGATCTAGAGAGAACGATACCATCCTCTAGACGGTCTCTACAAGCCACACCATCCAGACGTCTGCCATCCCCCTCCTCACCCTACTAGAATCTGAAGTCAAATGTCTTCTGTTTGCTGACGATCTGGTGCTTCTGTCACCAACCAAAGGTGGGCCTACAAAACAGCACCTAGATCTTCTGCACAGATTCTGTCAGACCTGGGCCCTGACGTAAATCTCAGTAAGACAAAAAAAATGGTGTTCCAAAGAAGGTCCATTGCCAGGACCACAATACAAAATTCCATCTAGACACAACCGTTGTCCCAAAGCAACAAAAAACTATACATACCTCGGCCTAAACATCAGCGCCACAGTACTTCCACAAAGCGTGAACGATCTGAGAGACAAGGCAAGAAGGGCCTTCTATGCCATCAAAAAGGAACATAAAATTTGACATACCAATTAGGATCTGGCTAAAAATACTTGAATCAGTTATAGAACCCATTGCCCTTTATGGTTCTGAGGTCTGGGGTCCGCTCACCAACCAAGAATTCACAAAATGGGACAAACACCAAATTGAGACTCTGCATGCAGAATTCTGCAAAAACATCCTCCGTGTACAACGTAAAACACCAAATAATGCATGCAGAGCAGAATTAGGCCAATACCCCGCTAATTATCAAAAATCCAGAAAAGAGCTGTTAAATTCTATAACCACTTAAAAGGAAGCGATTCCCAAACCTTCCATAACAAAGCCATCACCTACAGAGAGATTAACTTGGAGAGATTATTATTATTTATTATTATTATTATTATTATTATTATTTGGAGAAGAGTCCCCTAAGTAAGCTTGTCCTGGGGCTCTGTTCACAAACACAAACAGACCCCACGCAGCCCCAGGACAACAACAACAACAACACAACTAGACCCAACCAAATCATGAGAAAACAAAAAGAGAATTACTTGACACATTGGAAAGAACAAACAAAAAAAACAGAGCAAACTAGAATGCTATTTGGCCCTAAACAGAGAGTACACAGTGGCAGAATACTTGACCACTGTGACTGACCCAAACTTAAGGAAAGCTTTGACTATGTACAGACTCAGTGAGCATAGCCTTGCTATTGAGAAAGGCCGCCGTAGGCAGACCTGGCTCTCAAGAGAAGACAGGCTATGTGCACACTGCCCACAAAATGAGGTGGAAACTGAGCTGCACTTCCTAACCTCCTGCCAAATGTATGACCATATTAGAGACACATATTTCCCTCAGATTACAGCGATCCACAAAGAATTCGAAAACAAACCCAATTTTGATAAACTCCCTTATCTACTGGGTGAAAAACCACAGTGTGCCATCACAGCTGCAAGATTTGTGACCTGTTGCCACAAGAAAAGGGCAACCAGTGAAGAACAAACACCATTGTAAATACAACCCATATTTATGTTTATTTATTTTCCATTGTACTTTACTATTTGTTCACATTGTTACAACACTGTATATATACATAATATGACATTTGAAATGTCTTTATTCTTTTGAAAACTTCTGAGTGTAATGTTTACTGTTAATATTTATTGTTTATTTCACTTTTGTTTACTATCTACTTCACTTGCTTTGGCAATGTTAACACACGTTTCCCATGCCAATAAAGCCCTTAAATTGAAATTGAAATTGAGAGAGAGAGAGAGAGAGAGAGAGAGAGAGAGAGAGAGAGAGAGAGAGAGAGATCGAGAGAGAGAGAGAGGAGTAGAGAGAGATAGATAGATGAGAGATAGAGAGAGAGAGAGAGAGAGAGAGAATGAGAGAGAGAGAGCGAGAGACAGACAGAGAGAGAGAGCGAGAGAGAGAGAGAGACAGAGAGAGAGAGAGAGAGAGAGAGAGAGAGTCTTATCTACCCCAGTGGTTTTGAGGAACTCTCAGGTGTACCTCAAAACCTTTCCTAATGTTAATAAAACATTTTAACACTCACTTTTTTTTACTTGGAAGCAGCACCAGTGGTGTTCAGATAATATATTGAATAACAGCAAAGCGTACTGAGCAATTAGTCTATAGCAGGGTTTCCCAAACTCGGTCCTGGTGCCCCCCTGGGTGCACGTTTTGGTTTTTGCCCTAGCATTCCACAGCTGATTAAAATAATCAAAGCTTGATGATGAGTTGGTAATTTCAATCAGCTGTGTAGTGCTAGGGCAAAAACCCAAACATGCACCCACTCTGATCTCATTCTCTCTCATCTCTCCCCCTCTCTCTCTTTCTCAGACACTCTATCAGTCTATTCAACTCCCCCACTCCCTCCATCTAAATAAATGGGTGCTATCTACTATACTCAGTTGGGAAGACGTCCTGCAGACATATCTTAAAGCATACAGTCAACCCTTGATTATGGAAAAGAAAATTGCACTGCAGTTATGCAATACACTCAGTATCAGTAGTGGGCTGTAACACAATCTGCAAAAGCTTAAACCAATAGGCATTGAGTTAAGGCTCAACTGAGGACCTTTTCTGATGTAAGACCATGTGTAACAACCTGTGATTGAAAGACTCCTTTAAGATGGTTTAGTGCTCTGTGTAGGAATGGATGGCTACCTAAAATTACCCCTGAGGGGAAACAGGCATTGACTCTTTTTTTCTTTCTATTCACCCATTTGACCTGTCTTTAACCATCCTGACCTTAACCTGTGTGCTTTATGGAAATCCATCAGATGGCCAGGGCCTCAGAGCTGATGGATCCCTGGAAAGAGCCCTTAATGGGTGGTTAAAACACCCAGCGAAACCCATCTCCTAGGGCACCTAATGACAGGAAGGCTGGGGATAGTTGTTGTAAAGGATGTATCTGGGAGCTGGGAGTGTGTGTGTGTTTGTGTGCCTGTGCGTGTGTGTTACAGAGAGAGAGAAGATTAGAATGGTCTTAGGGACAATACAGAGTGGAATCGTGACAGTTTCAGTATAAAACAAAACATCGCGATCTGATGACTTTCAATGCACAGATCCACAGGCACACGTGAGGTCACCACACATCAGTCAGAGACCGGAGTGCCTAGTTAGTGCCTGGTTCAAGTTGAATTTAGTTTTTGCATTTTAGCTAACCCTAACCATTTTCCTAACCTTAACCTAAGTCTCCTAACCTGCTACAGTTGAAGTCGGAAGTTTACATACACTTAGATTGGAGTCATTAAAACTCGTTTTTCAACCACTCTACAAATTTCTTGTTAACAAACTGTAGTTTTGGTAAGTCGGTTAGTGCATCTACTTTGTGCATGACACATGTAATTTTTCCAACAATTGTTTACAGACAGATTATTTCACTTATAATTCACTGTATTACAATGGGTCAGAAGTTTTCATGAACTAAGTTGACTATGCATTTAAACAGCTTGGAAAATTCCAGAAAATGATGTCATGGCTTTAGAAGCTTCTGATAGGTTAATTGACATCATTTGAGTCATTTGGAGGTGTACCTGTGGATGTATTTCAAGGCCTACCTTCAAGCTCAGTGCCTCTTTGCTTGACATCATGGGAAAATCAAAAGAAATCAGCCAAGACCTCATAAAACAAATTGTAGACCTCCACAAGTCTGGTTCATCCTTGGGAGCAATTTCCAAACGCCTGAAGGTACCACGTTCATCTGTACAAACAATAGTACGCAAGTATAAACACCATGGGACCACGCAGCCGTCATACCGCTCAGGAAGGAGACACGTTCTGTCTCCTAGAGATTAACGTACTTTGGTGCGAAAAGTGCAAATCAATCCCAGAACAACAGCAAAGGACCTTGTGAAGATGCTGGAGGAAACAGGTACAAAAGTATCTATATCCACAGTAAAACGAGTCCTATATCGACAAGGAAGAAGCCAATGCTCCAAAACCGCCATTAAAAAGCCAGACTAGGTTTGCAACTGCACATGGGGACAAAGACCGTACTTTTTGGAGAAATGTCCTCTGGTCTGATGAAACAAAAATAGAACTGTTTGGCCATAATGACCATCGTTATGTTTGGAGGAAAAAGGGGGTTGCTTGCAAGCCGAAGAACACCATCCCAACCGTGAAGCACGGGGGTGGCAGCATCATGCTATGGGGGTGCTTTGCTGCAGGAGGGACTGGTGCACTTCACAAAATAGATGGCATCATTAGGAAGGAAAATTGTGTGGATATATTGAAGCAACATCTCAAGACATCAGTCAGGAAGTTAAAGCTTGGTCGCAAATGGGTCTTCCAAATGGACAATGACCCAAGCATACTTCCAAAGTTGTGGCAAAATGGCTTAAGGACAACAAAGTCAAGGTATTGGAGTGGCCTTCACAAAGCCCTGACCTCAATCCTATAGAACATTTGTGGGAAAAACTGAAAAAGCGTGTGCGAGCAAGGAGGCCTACAAATCTGACTCAGTTACACCAGCTCTGTCAGGAGGAATGGGCCAAAATTCACCCAACTTATTGTGGGAAGCTTGTGGAAGGCTACCCAAAACGTTTGACCCAAGTTAAACAATTTAAAGGCAATGCTACCAAATACTAATTGAGTGTATGTTAACTTCTGACCCACTGGGAATGAGATGAAATAAATAAAAGCTGAAATAAATAATTCTCTCTACTATTATTCTGACATTTCACGTTCTTAAAATAAAGTGGTGATCCTAACTGACATAAAACAGGGAATTTTTACTAGGAATAAATTTCAGGAATTGTGAAAAACAGAGTTTAAATGTATTTGGCTAAGGTGTACGTAAACCTCCGACTTCAACTGTATGTTCATTCTCCTAACCTGCTGCGTAAGTTCTGCTAACCTGCTACGAAATGTCAATTCTGGTCAATCCTGACATAAGCTGTATCCCAGCTAGTCAAAACCTGGAACCATCTGTATCATCCAACCAGGGGCCATTTATTGGAATAGATATCCCTATTTTAATTTGAAAGTAAGAATACTGGAATAAAGCAGTAATATCATCCTCAAGTATTCCTTGAAATTTCAATAATACCTCACCGTCTGCCCCACACTACCTTTCTGACATTGTTGTCCCTCCTTGAGCAGGACAGATGAGGTGGTGGGATGCCAGTCCTAGCCTGCCTCCATTTGCTGTATCTTATGACACCTGCTCTGCAGTGTTGTAGTCTTTCTTGCTGATATAATCCGTGTGGAGCTCAGTGTAATTATCTGACACCAGTGTTCTGTAGTAAACGTGTCATCAGTTCATGACTCTGATCCTCCTTCCAGTGTTGCTCCTCTGGAAACCTTCCAATCCTCTGTGACTTTTACTGCTACTGTAATCACTACTTAACACTCTGATCTCTGCTCATTTTGGTTCCCCACTTTACGCTATCCTTATTGTGTGTGTTTGTGTGTTATATTTGTACCAGGTTCTTTCGGACCGACTCTTTTAAACACATCATTATCTGTGCTCATCTGCACTTCAAACGGTGTTATTCGTGCAGTCGGCAGTCTCCAGAGCTTCAGTGCAGACTTCCACTCTCTCAAGAGTACACACACACATGCACACTGACACAAACACACACACACACAAACACACACACAAACACACACACACACACACTAAATAGTTTGTATAACTCTTTAAAACACTGCTCTGACTTCCATTACTACCTTTGTTTATTAGTTCCACTCACTCAGTTAACTGGAGCATGACATCCAAACAGTGAGACATCCCCTGACTCTTTAACCAAGTATCAGGGACTCCAGATACAGTGCTTTGCAAAAGTATTCATCCCCCTTGGCGTTTTTCCTATTTTGTTGCATTACAACCTGTAATTTAAGTATTTTTATTTGGATTTCATGTAATGGACATACACAAAATAGTCAAAATTGGTGAAGTGAAATGAAAAAAATTAAATGTTTTAAAACATTCAAAAAAATCAATTACGGAAAAGTGGTGCGTGCATATGTATTCACCCCCTTTCTATGAAATCACTAAATAAGATCTGGTGCAACCAATTACCTTCAGAAGTCACATAATTAGTTAAATAAAGTCCACCGGTGTGCAATCTAAGTGTCACATGATCTGTCACATGATCTCAGTATATATACACCTGTTCTGAAAGGCCCCAGAGTCTACAACACCACTAAGCAAGCAGCACCATGAAAACCAAGGAGCTCTCCAAACAGGTCAGGGACAAAGTTGTGGAGAAGTACATATCAGGGTTGGGTTATAGAAAAATATCAGAAACTTTGAACATCCCACAGAGCACCATTAAATCCATTATTAAAAAATGGAAAGAATATGGCACCACAACAAACCTGCCAAGAGAGGGCCGCCCACCAAAACTCACGGACCAGGCAAGGAGGGCATTAATCAGAGAGGCAACAAATAGACCAAAGATAACCCTGAAGGAGCTGCAAAGCTCCACAGCGGAGATTGGAGTATCTCTCCATAGGACCACTTTAAGCCGTACACTCCACAGAGTTGGGCATTACCGAAGAGTGGCCAGAAAAAAAGCCATTGTTTAAAGAAAAAAATAAGCAAACACGTTTGGTGTTCACCAAAAGGCATGTGGGAGACTCACCCAACATATGGAAGAAGGTACTCTGGTCAGATGAGACTAAAATTGAGCTTTTTGGCCATCAAGGAAAACGCTATGTCTGGCATAAACCCAACACCTCTCATCACCCCGAGAACACCATCACCACAGTGAAGCATGGTGGTGGCAGCATCATGCTGTGGGGATGTTTAAAAAAAAAAAGTTATCGTCAGCTTTTCTACCCCCCCTCGTTTTGTATGTGTGCGCAGGTGTTTGTAATTGCCTAAGCAGATCTTTAGAGGCTTGAGTGGCACAAAGATTAATCCTACTCATTAGTGGATCTACTCCTCAGACTAATTTCTGCAATAACACACACACACGTGTGCGCACAGACATACTAAACGAGGGGGAAGAAAAGCTGATCATAAATATATATATTTAGTAGATTAATTTCAAGCTCCAACTCTAGTGTACTCACACTCACACTACTTTCTCTCAAAGCTGAAAAGAAACGACAACGTAGCACACTACTAATGCCCTTCAATCCTCTTTTTTGTACATTTTGTACCTCTAATTGTTCTTCGCACCATCCATTACATCAGTGTATGTGTACAGTGAGGGAAAAAAGTATTTGATCCCCTGCTGATTTGTACTTTTGCCCACTGACAAAGACATGATCAGTCTATAATTTTAATGGTAGGTTTATTTGAACAGTGAGAGACAGAATAACAACAACAAAATTCAGAAAAACGCATGTCAAAAATGTTATAAATTGATTTGCATTTTAATGAGGGAAATAAGTATTTGACCCCCTCTCAATCAGAACGATTTCTGGCTCCCAGGTGTCTTTTATACAGGTAACGAGCTGATATTAGGAGCACACTCTTAAAGGGAGTGCTCCTAATCTCAGTTTGTTACCTGTATGAAAGACATCTGTATTCTGATCTTCTTTTCACTAATTAGTATTTTGACCAATCAGATCAGCTCTGAAAAAGATCTGATGTGAAAGATCTGATGTGATTGGTCAAAAAATATCTGAATTGGGCTGTCTGTGTAAACGCAGGCTATGTCTGCCAACCAGACAAAGCTAGATCAGCATTGTGTCCATCTGTCTGTCTCTGAGAATTGAAAGTTAATCCCTACAGTTGTAATACGGAACAGTAATCACTAGTGATTAGCCAGACCTTATTATCCTAACACCCCTCTGTAATATCAGCATGCACATGCACGGTCAAATACATTCTAATTAGCTGCTAATGCATGTGGATGCTCGCTGACTTAATGGCTTCACCCAGTAAATAGGTTTCTCAGTGTCCCAAAGTGACATGTCTGAAGAGTGTCTTTGAATCATCCTTCCCCCTCTCCACTTTAACTCTGTTAATTAGTTCCTACTTTGGAGATTAGTTGAACTTTTGCACAATAGCAGATCATTTAGGGAACTCTAACCTTTAACGTATGACCCTTACCCTCTTGGTTGCACTCCATTCTGCCAGTCTATCCAGCTTTGGAGATGCTGGCAATGTGGCCTAACCCCTCCCTACCTCCAAACCTACTAAAACTGTTCCTGAGGCTTGGGTGTCTGGGAGGAAAGTACAAATCTGAAAGACAGTGTGCAGGTTAGTGCTACTACATTTTCAGAGTCTATTTGTCAGTCCCAACTCCAACCATCCCAATGCACTGAAAGGTGTGCTAGAGGGGCTGGAGTCAGTCAATGTTAGGGTAAGTGTTAGGGATCGAAGTTAGGGTTAGAGATCAAGGATCAGGGTTAGAGGTCAAGGTTTTGCATTGTCTTACCATAGTTGGGACAGCAGACCTTGAGCCAGCACACAGATGACAACACTGTGAGGTTGGTGAGACTGGCGAGTCCAAACAAAACCCCACAGAAGGCATAGCTCATACATGTAACCTCACTGAACAGCCACCTGGAGAGAGAAAGATAGAGAGAGAGAGAGAGAGACTAATCATTTATCCGATAGATATTCAGAGACCATTTCTCTCACTTTTTCTGTGTCTGAACCTGAGGCCCCACATGGCTGATACTACCTGGAGTACAAGAGAGAGGGGAAATATATATTTATGACTATTAAAACAGTTGTGTCACACAGGTGACCTTTTTATTTCACGTTTTTATATTCTCTCTCCCTCTGTCTGTCTGTCTACATTTGTGAAGGCCTGAGGCATTACAAGGAAGGAGGGCATGGCAAAACAAATCAGCACACATACACTGAATAACCTCAAGAAGGGAGGGAGAGAGAGAAAGGGGAAGGGGCAGGAGATGAGAGAAGTAAGTGTTGATGAGCAGAGGAGAGGATAGTAAAGGAGTGTGGAAACTCACTTATGTGCGAAGGCTGATGAGATGGCCATGGGGAAGAGAGAGATTGTCATTCCGAGGTCGCTGACGGAGAGGTTTATAACAAAGAACTCAGTTGGCTTCAGGGAGGACTTCTTCCGATAGGCCACAAACAGCAATATTCCATTCCCAACCAGTGAGAAAACACCTGAGACACACAGTTAGAATTTTAACAAGACTGAAAAGTAAAATGGCAGAGTGCACATACTGTAGAGAGCTTCAAGGCATCCAGTAAATCAAGAAAAAAACACTACCAATACTGGACAAAAGCAATTCAATGAAAGCCATTGTTTTGCGATCCCTCTTGTAAGACTTTTATCTTTGTATATCTTTAAAGTTATTTTTCCACAACTGAACTCGGAGCACAACTATGATCCCCAGTGTTATGTAAACACACCAGGAGAAAGACTCACCAAATATGGCATAGATGGTCCCCATCAGGATGTCATGTTCTTTAGAGATGGTGGAAAGGAATAAAGATGTGTCAGCGAACAAAGACGTTTCAGAGGCATTTCCCATCTAAAGAGAGAGAGAGAGATTACTTTATTTGTGGTGTCAGATACATACAAGGGAGGAGAGGAGTAATGGGGTTAAATTAGTTCTGCTGTGTGACAAAGCCTCTGGGCCTTGTTCAGAATTTCACTGTATTCCTCTATCCAGAGGTCAAAGCCAAGACATATTGCACAACATATTATTACAACCGGACTCGCACGCACACTCGAACGCACGCACCCAGGCACACACACATGCAAACTCAGAGAGTGACTAATTCCAGCCAGATAAGGCCTTAGCTAAGACAACAAGCCTCTGTGTCCTCAAGCTACAATAACAGCCACTGACTTTTACTGCCTACTACTGACTTTGAATGTCACTATATTAGTATCACAATACAATGAGCTATTTACAGTACATTAAAAAAGTAGTTCTTCTTTGAAGAAGTCTATTTGACTTTTCACCACAACATGGAATAACTACACTCTTAGAAAAAAATATGCTATCTATAACTTAAAAGGGTTCTTCGGCTGTCCCCATAGGAGAACCCTTTGAAGAACACTTTATGGTTCCAGGTAGAACCCCTTTGGGTTCCATCTAGAACCCTTTCCACAGAGGGTTCCACCTGGAACCGAAAGGGTTCTCCTATGGGGACACCGAGAATCTCCGCCAGCTGACGATCGCCGTGCAGAGCCGGGTGGACACCCGACCAGCCACGGCAGCGGCGTCTCCAGTCTCACATGCGACATCGCGGGAACCCCGCCTACCACCTCCGGAGAGGTATGACGGACGTCCAGAGGGCTGCAGCGAATTCCTCACCCAGTGTTCCCTGGTATTCAGCCTACATCCCTCCTCCTTCCCGACGGAGCAGGGCCAGGTGGCCTACATCATCACTCTGTTGACGGGTCGGGCCCTTTCCTGGGCTACCGTGGAGTGGGAGAGCTTCCGGCGTGCTCCGACTCCTACCAATTCACCCGGGAGCTACGCAAGGTGTTCGACTACTCTCCGGTGGTGTCGGGGCACGAGGCCGTGAGGCGGCTCATGGCCTGTCGGCAGGGTGACCGTACGGTTGCATGCTACTCCGTGGAGTTCCTGACCCGGGCTCGAGAGGCAGGATGGGAGGAGGCCGCCCTGGTTGTCCTTTACGCCCAGGGGCTATCGGAGTGGATGATGGACGAACTCTCCTTCAGGGAGCTGCCTGAGCGACTGGACGGCCTCATCGAACTCTCGATGTGGGTAGACAATCGGTATCATGAGAGGGCGCATGAGAGAGGGATGACGCAAGGCGCGCCTCCGCGTCCCCCTATCAACCCGGAGGCTTTCTGCCGATTCAGGGAGGAGATGCCTCAGGAGGAGGCTATGCAGCTGGGGGAGGCGCGCTTGTCCAGGATGAAAAGGCAGAGGCGTCTGCGCCAGGGACGTTGCCTGTACTGTGGCCAGGCAGGTCACCACTGCGACTCATGCCCGGAGAAGCAGGGAAACGGGAGGGCTCGCTTGTATCGGGAGGAACCGAAACCCCAGAAATCCAGAGACTCCCAGACATTTCTCCCCGTGAGGGTTCAGTGGGCCCGCGCTGCGCGTCGGGCGCATTTACTGGTGGATTCCGGGGCCGCGGGAAACCTTATGGACGAAGGGCTGGCCCAAGGGTGGAGCGTTCCGTTACTCTCCCTCTCCGAGTCGGTTCCAGTCATGGGCCTGGACGGCCGGCCGTTGCGGTCGGGCTTCATCACCCAGCGCACTGTCCCTGTGCGTGTCCGGATGGTGGGGTGGCTATGGGGAGGATATCCAGTTTTTTATTGTGGACTCTCCGGAGTGTCCCCTCGTCCTCGGGCACCCCTGGTTGGTTGCCCACAAACCCCGGATAGAATGGTCCACGGGGCGGCTCATCCTGGAGGGAAGCTCCACTCCCATCCTGTTCCGGTCTCCACCGACCACTCATCAGCACAAACCACCGTCCCAGACCACCTACCAGTCCTCACCTCTTCCCCAGGTCCCGCACTCCGAACCGCCTACCACCCTAGCGGCGGTGGCCACCGGGAGGCCCGCGGCTACAGACTCTGTCACCGGCCCAGACCTGGCAGGCATTCCCTGGGAGTATTGGGATCTGGGGGAGGTGTTTAGTAAGAGGCGTGTCAAGGGCCTACCTCCTCACAGGCCTTACTACTGCACTATCGATCTCCTGCCGGGCGCCATGACCACACAAGGGCGTTTGTTTTCCTTGTCCCAGCCGGAGACGCTGGTCATGAGGGTCATGACATTCGTCCCTCTACCTCACCCGCGGGCGCGGGCTTCTTCTTCGTGGGGACAAAGGACGGTGGGCAGCGGCCGTGCATTGATTAACGGGCGTTCAACGACATCACGGTTAAGAACCGCTACCCATTCCTCCTGATGACGACGGCATTCGAGTCGTTGCAGGGAGCCCGGGTCTTCACCAAGTTGGACTTACGTAATGCCTACAACCTGGTGAGGATTCAGGAGGGGGATGAGTGGAAGAGAGCTTTTAACACACCCAGTGGGAATTACGAGTACCAAGTCATTCCGTTTGGTCTAGCCAATGCGCCTGCGGTGTTCCAGGCATTGGTCAATGACGTGCTCCGGGACCTCCTCGACTACAGTGTCTTCGTGTATTTGGATGACCTCCTAATATTTTCGAAAGACATGAGCGAACACCAGCAGCACGTCCAGCAGGTCCTCCAACGCCTTCTCCATCACCAGCTCTACGTCAAGGCAGAGAAGTGTGTGTTCCACACAGAGAGAGTCTCCTTCCTGGACCTACGGATGGACCCAGCTAAGGTCAGCGCGGTACTGGATTGGACCCAGCCCTCATCCCTCAAGCAACTACAATGGATTTTAGGGTTCGCTAATTTTTATAGGCGATTTATTCACAATTTTAGCTCCCTAGCCGCTCACCTGACAGCCCTCACGCAGACGAGCGTACACTCCTTCACCTGGACCCCGGAAGTGGGGAAGGCATTTGATGCTCTTAAGCTGCGCTTTACATCTGCCCCAGTTCTCGGGCATCCTGATCCGTCCCTGCTGTTCATTGTGGAGGTGGATGTTTCAGACGTTGCGGTGGGAGCAATCCTGTCCCAGCAGTTCTTCACGGAAGGTAAGACTCACCCCTGCGCATTTTTCTCCTGTCGGCTGTCCCCGGCGGAGTGGAATTACGACGTGGGGAACCGTGAGCTGCTAGCGGTCAAGCTCGCCCTGGGGGAGTGGAGACATTGGCTAGAGGGGGCCGCCCATCCATTCGTCGTATGGACTGACCACAAGAACTTAGCCTACATTCCGGGGGCCAAGAGACTCAACTCGTGCCAAGCCAGGTGGGCATTGTTCTTCACCAGGTTCCGGTTCACCATCTCATACCGTCGGGGGTCGAAGAACACCAGGCCTGATGCACTCTCCCGGCAGTGCGAAAACATGGACCTGGTGGAGAGGGACGACCCCATTGTCCCCAACGCCCTGATTGCTGCCCCAGTTTTGTGGGGAATTGAAAGGCTGGTCAGAGCAGCGCATCGGCAGGAGCCCAATCCGGGCGGAGGTCCATCGGGGAGGATGTACGTGCACAAGGCTGCATGCTTGTGACTGCTTCAGCACAAACTGATTGCTGGTGAGGTGTCCGACCTCACCAGCCATCCGGGGGCGCCAGGACGTTGGAGTTCCTGCGTAGTAGGTTCTGGTGGGAGGGATACGAGCGCCTTCGTGGCTGCTTGCCCGGTGTGAACGTGCACGAACAGCTCACATCAGCCCGTGGCAGGGCTGCTCCGACCCCTGCCTATCCCCAAGCGTCCCTGGTCCCACATCTCGCTGGATTTAATTTCCGCCCTACCCCCCTCTGATGGATACACAGTCATCCTGGTCATTGTGGACCGGTTCTCGAAGGCTGCCCACTTCATTTCCCTTCCCAAACTCCCGTCGGCCCGGGAGACAACTAAGTTGATGGTGCAGCACGTTTTCCGGGTCCATGGATTTCCCAAGATGTGGTGTCGGATCTGGGCCCTCAGCTCGCCTCCTGGTTCTGGAAGGCGTTCGCCACCTGCTTCGGCGCCTCCGTCAGCTTGTCTTCAGGCTTCCATCCCCAGTTGAACGGGCAGACGGACCGCGTCAACCAGGATCTGGAAGTGGTGCTGAGGTGCTACGCCTCCAGCAACCCAGCTACGTGGTGTCAGCGACTGGCGCTGGCGGAGTACGCCCACAACACCCTTCTCTGCTCGTCCACCGGCCTGTCTACCTTCCAGTGCCAATACGGGTACCAACCCCCCGTATTCCCTAAGCAACATGAGGAGGCGTCGGTCCCGTCGGGCCCACATCAGTCGCTGTCGCTGCACCTGGAGGCAGGTACAGGCGGTGCTTAAGCGGGCCTCGTCAGGTCTCAACATCAGGCCAACCGCAGGTGTCGCCCGGCCCCGGTCTTTCGCCTGAGACAGAGGATGTTCTTCCCCTCCATGTGGAGTCCAGGAAGCTGTCACAACGAGCACAAAACATAAACTCTACACACCCTGGCTCAACTTAAAATAGTCCCTAGAGCAAGGGCGTGACAGTCGAAAATGTTATAAATTGATTTGCATTTTAATGAGGGAAATAAGTATTTGACCCCCTCTCAATCAGAAAGATTTCTGGCTCCCAGGTGTCTTTTATACAGGTAACGAGCTGAGATTAGGAGCACACTCTTAAAGGGAGTGCTCCTAATCTCAGCTTGTTACCTGTATAAAAGACACCTGTCCACAGAAGCAATCAATCAATCAGATTCCAATCTCTCCACCATGGCCAAGACCAAAGAGCTCTCCAAGGATGTCAGGGACACGATTGTAGACCTACACAAGGCTGGAATGGGCTACAAGACCATCGCCAAGCAGTTTGGTGAGAAGGTGACAACAGTTGGTGCGATTATTTGCAAAAGGAAGAAACACAAAAGAACTGTCAATCTCCCTCGGCCTGGGGCTCCATGCAAGATCTCACCTCGTGGAGTTGCAATGATCATGAGAACGGTGAGGAATCAGCCCAGAACTACACGGGAGGATCTTGTC